TGGTGGTATGTTTGTTGATGCAAAGCTGTTTTTATTACTAGATGTGGCCTTATATACATGATAGGGGCAGCGTGTGGCTCAGTGGGTTAAGCCTGTGTATTTGTAATCACAAGGTCACCAGTTCAAACCCAGCTTCAGCATGTCTGTGGCTCCTTGAGCAAGGCCCTTAACCCCCAGCTCCCTGGGCTCCCCAACAGGTGGCTGTGCTTCACAGACAACTTACTCTACAAAGAGCAAGTTGAGGGAGGCGTAAAAACAATTTCCCCAGGGGGATCAATGAAGTATCAATTATTATATTATTAGAAAGGTGTCAGGGGAGTTGAGACCACCTGGGCTGTGTATCTCTGGAACCACCTGCTCCCCTGTAGACTAATGTTGCATATATTTTTTTAATCTACTGCAATGGTGTTAAATAAGGCAAGAGTATAAAAACCCCAGATATAACTACATATGTTTGATGCTGACTGCAGCCACAGGAATGTGTCTTGTTGGGATCTGCTCTTAGGTGCTGGGCAGCGACTGGGTGGGAGGCTTTGGTCTCCCTGGAGTTCCATGATTGAAATAAAGGTTATAGAAAGGAAAACCTATGTGTTTGTCCGCCCCACCTAGGAACCTCACCCAAGAAAAATATCTCGGCTGATTTCCACACACTCATGTCTCTGCTTGTACTGTGGTTTGGTATAAGGACATGAACGTGAATTCTGACTTCATATTCTTCATTGTAATTAATTCAATCTGCCTTTGCCAACTTGCAGTTAATATCCGCTTCTTTGCCGCGTCCTACAAGCCCGTCGTGACATTGGACACCTCCATGCAACAACAGTGAAGCTATGTGCTAACACAAGCACAACCCTGCTTCTACAAACCACACAACAACAGCCAAAGCCATGAATGATAATGCGGAGGCATAATTGGATGAGTTCCAGCAGGTAGATGTTATTGGGCCTATAGAATTCTCCCACTGGGCAGCTCCTGTCATTCCTGTCTTACCAGAGGGTGAAATATATAAAACACTCCCAGGATCCAGTCGCAATTAAGGTTATAAACTATAATGTCAACGGTCTTCACAGTCCTTTAAAGAGGAAGAAAAATCTTAATCAGCTGAAAAGAGTTAGCTGTCAGATTGCATTTCTACTGGAGACCCACCTTTCAGATGCAGAACATGAAAACTAAAAAAATCTTGGGCAGACAAAGTATTCTATTCTTCGCATCAGTCAGGCAGAAAGAGAGGAGTTTCTATCCCGATACATAAGCAGGTTAATTTTACACCAACTGCAATCCAGAAACATTCAGGGGGGAGATACATCATAGTAAATGGACTAATTGATGGACAGCTCTCACTTATGAATATATAAGCTCCAAATGAAGATGATCCAAGTTTCATTAGCACTGTATTTCACTTAATACTAAAATATAGCTCTGGTATCCTGTTACTAGGAGGGGACTTCAATTGTTTCATGTCTCAAAGTATGGACAGGCAACCTTTCTCCAAATATCCCACTTATAGAATGAGCAAAGTGCTTAAATGTCTATTAATTGAATCAGACCTACTAGATGTCTGGAGAAATAAATCCCCTTATAGTACAGATTTTACTTACTACTCACATAGTCTTATTCTAGAATTGATTTCTATTTTACCCTCAAGACAGAATTTCATAGGATAGAAAATATTGAAATTCTACCAGTAACTATATCTGACCATGCACTTCTTGTACCGTCATGGGATATAGGTCTCAGACCAAAAAGCAAACAATGGTGGTTAAATGCATCGCTCCTAAATGACAAAGAATTCAAAACATTTGTGGCAACTGAATTAAAGGAGTTGCTAGATATAAACACCACACCTGAGATATCTCCCGTTACCTTATGGGACTGTGCCAAGGCGTGTATCAGAGGACGCAATATCACATTTGCGAGTGCAAAACGAAAGAGTAGGGAAGCAAAACAGCATAGTTTAGAGGACAGAATAAGGCAGCTTGAACAACAACATAAAAAAACACCAACCCCCAATTGTGCTAGCGCTCTCACACAAGCTCGAAGAGAACTAAATATTTTACTCAGTGAAAAGATTGAAGGCAATCTGCGGTTTACCAAACAATAATACTATGAACACGGCCAAAGGGCCAGCAGACTGTTGGCATTTAGACTGAAAAAGCAACAAGCATCTAATACAATTCAGAAATTGAAAGTTGATAACTTGATGTTACACCGAGCTGGCAAAAGAGGCACAGATCCAGTAAAGCAGAGCTTTAATGAAGCTGACAGGTAAGCACGGGTGTTCAGCAATAAAACAGAGCCCCGGAGGGAGAGCGCCTCCGTCCAGAAGAGCGGGGCGGCTGCACCCGGTAAACTGTCACTCGGGCAAACAGGTTTGAAATCGGCAGGCGTGGATCGTCATCATAGTACGGGGGCGCGGCTCGTCAGCTAGAGGGTCAGTCCTATAGAGAGACACGGTTCTGGAGCACAGGAGGAGAGGAGGACCGGAGGTACTGGACTCAGCAGGGCAGGACGATCAGGAACGGGTTCGGGACTGAGGACGGAATGCACTAAAGGTGAGGGATCAACAAAAGGCAAATAGGTAAGGTACGGGAAAGCAGGGAGACGGAAGACGAAAAAACGCTCGGTACGGCTTCTTTGCATCGGCTCAATACTTTGCGAGTAGAAGGTGGCTGAGCTCTTCTTTTAAGGAAGAGCTAATCCTGGGCTGTGGTGTTGCACCTGCTTGACTCCGCCCTCGTGGGCGTGACACTTGACAGTCACAAAACCTGATGAAATTTCAGATTGGTTTACATAATTCTATGAGTCCTTATACAAAAACACAGATACTTGTACAGATGACGGCATGCTGGCTCAGTTCCTGAAAGATATCAAAGTAACTGAACTGACTGAACCCATGGCAAATGAGCCAATTAAGGAACAGGAAATACAACAGGCCATCTCCAATCTGAAAAACAATAAAAGCCCCAGCCCAGATGGGCATATTAATGAATTCTATAAAACATTTAAAGAAATTATTTCACCCCTGCTGCTAGAAGCATACCATCATGATGTGACGTGGAGCAAGATCTGCCGGAGGCTGCAGGGGTGGAGTATAAACTGACTGCAGCCAAGTCGGACAACTTCTACTCCTCGTAGTCTGTGAGACCTGACTGCAATGGCAGCACTGCCAGAAGGGTGTGGATAAATCTATACAAATATCACTTGCATGTACATCAAATTTACAATAAGCAATTCCTGATCCAAGCAGTTAGCAGTGAAAAAAAATAAACTATTGTGTATAGTGACCCTGTGTAAAAAGATAGCTGCCAGAAAAAAGATCAAATACATGTATTTCAAGGATTCAAAGTTTTTATTGTCATGTACTGAGTACAATGCAATTCTTACTTGAATGCCTTTTTCACAGACTGGACGATTAACCAAATAAAGCAGCGCAACATTACAGTAACTAACAATAAATAAACCACTAACTCACGTGTACTATTAGAGCATTTATGTAATTTATTTAAACTTTATTTTACCAGGTAAATTAACTGAAAACCAGTTCTCACTGCTTTACGTGCCTTTTCGGGAGAAATAGCAGATTACGCATCGGAACTGCCTGGGATACAAACGTCATGCCATCCATCCATCCATCCATTATCTTCCGCTGGATCCAAAGTCGGGTCGCGGGGACAGCAGTCTCAGCAGGGAAACCCAGGCTTCCCTCTCCCCGGCCACATCATCCAGCTCCTCTGGGGGAATCCCGAGGCGTTCCCAGGCCAGCCGAGAGACATAGTCCCTCCAGCGTGTCCTGGGTCTTCCCCGGGGCCTCCCCCCAGTGGGACATGCCCGGAACACCTCACCAGGGAGGTGTCCAGGAGGCATCCTGATCAGATGCCCGAGCCACCTCATCTGGCTCCTCTCAATGAGGAGGAGTAGCGGCTCTACTCTGAGTCTCTCCCGAATGACCGAGCTCCTCACCCTATCTCTAAGGGAGAGCCCAGCCACCCTGCGGAGAAAACTCATTTCGGCCGCTTGCACTCGCGATCTCATTCTTTCGGTCACTACCCATAGCTCATGACCATAGGTGAGGGTAGGAACGTAGATCGACTGGTAAATCGAGAGCTTCGCCTTTTGGCTCAGCTCCTTCTTCACCACGACAGACCGATGCAGCGCCCGCATCACTGCTGACGCCGCACCGATCCGCCTGTCGATCTCCCGCTCCATCCTTCCCTCACTCGTGAACAAGACCCCGAGATACTTAAACTCCTCCACTTGGGGGAGGACCCCATCCCCGACCCGGAGAGAGCACTCCACCCTTTTCCGGCTGAGGACCATGGTCTCGGATTTGGAGGTGCTGATTTTCATTCCAGCCGCTTCACACTCGGCTGCGACCTGCTCCAGTGAGAGCCGAAGGTCACGGTCTGATGAGGCCAACAGAACCACATCATCTGCAAAAAGCAGAGACCTAATCCTGAGGTCACCAAACCGGACACCCTCAACGCCCTGGCTGCGCCTAGAAATTCTGTCCATAACAGTTATGAACAGAATCGCTGACAAAGGGCAGCCCTGGCGGAGATCAACACTCACCGGGAACGAGTCCGACTTACTGCCGACAATGCGGACCAAGCTCTGGCACCGGTTGTACAGGAACCGAACAGCCCTTATAAGGCAGCCCGGTACCCCATACTCCCGGAGCACTCCCCACAAAATCTTCAGCCAATAAAGGCAAGGTTGTGTCGTCACGGAAGCAGGTCCAGTTTGTGCAGCCGGCTGAGAGGTGCTGCACGATCTGTCTTAAGTCGTCTTGCTCTTGCAAAGTTTTTGTACCATATGACATGTTGACGCGTGGTGACATTTTACAGCGCTGGCTGAAGTCGGACAAAGAAATCTAACCATGATGCATTGCGTCAGTACCAGAATGCATTGCTTTCAGCCAGCGCTGTAAGTGGCTGCATGAAGTCAAACGCATCCAATGTTTCCTACGCCCATCCCTGAAACATGCATGGATAGATGCATCACAACATCTGTCATGAATATAATTAAAGGGACACTGGCCTGTATTCTGGATCAGATAATCGATATGCAGGAGAACTGTCTTGGGTGCGCTGTAAACCACCCAAGCCAGCGTAGGGGACCTTCCGAATAGTGTGGACAAGTTTTTGGCCCCGGTGGAAGAGGCATGGGAATTTTTTAAAAGCACATTGTTGCAAGTGCAAGAGGACTTCATACCTGTTTCCAGCAAAACTAAATCTAGGAAACTACAACCAAGGTGGTTTACTAAGGAAATTAAGAATAAAAACTGGAGGAAAAGGGCTCTGTTCCACAAATGGAAAATAACTAATGATTTCAAAATGAAGTTAAAAAATAACATTAGACTCTCCAAGGGGAATGTAGAAAGAAAAATTGCATTGGAGGCTAAGGCTGACAATAAAAGTTTCTTCCAATATTTTAACTCCAAAAGAGCTCTAAAAGCTGAAATCACTAATTTGCAGGATGGTAAGGGCCTTATAATTGCAAATGAAATTGATATAGTAAATGAGGGATTTTAGGACCTCCTGTAGGTGGACGCCGAGGTATTTGAAGGTGCTCACCCTCTCCACTGTAGCACCATTAATGTGGACAGGTGTGTAAGAGCCCCGCTGCCTCCTTTAGACCACAATCAGCTCCTTTGTTTTGCTGACGTTCAGCTGGAGAACGTGCTGGCCAACGTCCAGTCACAGGAGAATAAACTTGATGATCTCCGGGCCAGAGTTAAGTTCCAGCGCAACATCAGGGACTGCAACTGTGGGATTCAATAGAATTATAAAGAACATACAATGAATAGAGGAAAAGGAGAATATAGCTTAAAGCAGGGCATGATGAAAGGGGGGGGGGGTTCATTCTAAAAAATGCAGTTAACTGAAACGAGAACTGACTGGCGCCGGCAGGGCAGGGGGACCTAATCGGAACAGATAGAGGGAGCGACAGAGAACGTCAGCGGCCCTTACGTATCTGTAGCCTTCCACAAGGACAAGTACTAACCAACTAACTAGAGCAAATGCCAAACATGTGGTTGTCATGTAGACGGAAGATACCAAGAGAGGGGGGGAGACGCCCAAAGGGCTTTAAAAGGGATACAGCTGATACATATGGTTGAGCTCCCTCCTGTACATGCTGAATGTATGTCAGATGGTCGCTCCCGGATTGCAATCTGTCAGAGAATAAACTGGTGACCTGCATTCTCCATATGTCAGCTGTGAATCTCTTGACCCGGTGGAGACAGCGTACTCCAACAACGGCTACAATGTGCGCTCTAGCAGAAGGAACGGAACGCTAAGTAAAATGCATCTAGTTAAAAAGCCCGCTGAAGGCAGACTAAACCATTTCATGTTTTTGCAAGGGGTGAGGGGTGGCCTGTACTCAGACACTATATACAGTATGTGGGATACAAAATTCAATCCATCACTCAACAGATTTATTCAACCATAACATTCAATTTACATTAGTTAGCAACATTAATTGTGACCTTTATTTATGATAGTAATATTGAAAGAAAAATAAAATTCCAGACTTCCCAAGGGCCCTCCCCCAACTTGGGGCCCAGGAAAGACAGTCCCACATTTCCTCCCACTACGACATCCATGGCTCTCAGGGTGGGGTGGAGGGGGGTGCGGTTAGAAGTGAGTGGACACAATGGGGTGTTTTTAACACCTCTATTTGATTGGTGAGTGACATATTATAAGCTTTTGTGTTGGGTTAGATTTGAGCCAGTAAAACATTAGAATGGTGTTATATCAGTTGTTAATGGTTACGAGCACAGAAGGAGACATTACCAATGTTTTTATATTAACGTTGTGTTAGGAGGAGTAAGGAAGCATTCATTCTGTAATTGTCATTTCAACCAGAGCCCCCGGTTCTTAGTGATCGCCCTGCTTTTTACCACGGAATCTCTAGTCTAGTCTTGTCTAGTTTTGTATAATTAGATAAATCTGCCTAAGGGGTGTAAGAATAAAGGTGGTTTAACTTCTAATCATGATAATGGAAAGTCTTAGAAATATTACTTTGTAACTGCACTACTTTTTCTGTCCTTTATTTGCTCTATTGAGTAGCTTCTCACATTAACTTTCTGTTGCTTTTAGAAAATTCAGTGACAGACTCATCCATGTCTAGTGTACATGTTACTGCCTTTTCATCAACTAAGATCACAGGGTTTTTTTCTTTCTGTCATAGAGCCCTGAAGGTGTGAGGTTACTGAATCAGCAAAGTGGGGATTCACAGTCCTTAGGCGTTTTGGTGAGGCCTCATCAGAAGGCATTGCGGTACGAGAGATTCCCCGTCACTTTCTCTGAGATTTCTTAGGGCATCAACAGATACTTGCACTGCTTCAGATACAGTACACTGCACATACACTGCACATACACTGCACCTGAAGGATTGTATTTGCATGCTTCAAATTGGATAGAAGATAGACAAGAAATTTGGCAACTTTAAAAACATTGTTTTGCTTCAGTTGGCATAGAAGTCCTTGAAGCCGCCTTTGCCATATCAACTGAGGCATTGTTGCTATGGGAAACCATTGAGGGAAAATCCAGAATTACCTCTTTATTCTCAGCTACACATTCGGTCACTTCAAAGTGACTGTCCAGCATATGTCCAGCAGCTTTTTCAGAGAGGAACAGCTGTATCTCTGTAACAAAATGATGCCTGAAATACAGCAGAGGGAGCCGGACAAGTCAGAGAACCTTCTGGCACGAGGTTCACTTTGAATGGGATGTATGACGGCGAGATGAAGCCGGTGGGTGTAGCAATGGATGTATGGGATGTGCTAGTCTGATCTACTTTGGATTAATGCCTGAACACCACCTCTCACCCCCCCATCACAGACGCCCTGCCATAACACTGCCTTAATATATTACCTGCAATGAAGCCCGTTTGGAGCGGAGGTGTTTCAGTGCTGATGTCATCTGTGTATCGGCCTTTTAAACCAAACAATAGCC